TATTATATTTTAGCTTTTAAAGTAAAGACTTTAGCGGAAGTTATGTTTAAGAATGTGTTTGATTTTTATCGGTTTAAAAAGAAGTCTATTAGTATTAATATTAATCGAGACACAGATCATGTGTATCGGGGTCAGCTTATACAGCGGTTATAAAACGTATAAATATATATATATTATATAAGCTATAAGAATTACAAAAGTTACAAAAGTTACAAAAGTTACAAAAGTTACAAAAGTTACAAAAGTTACAAAAGTTACAAAAGTTACCAGAGTTATAAAAGTTATAAAAACTAATAAAAAGCCTTTGTACCTCGCTTAATTCAAACAAAAGCTTATTTGCACGTGCACTTAGCCTTAGTATAATAATTTCCTTACATTTAAACACTTTGCTTTTACGATATACCGAAATCAAACAACATATAGCAATAAATCATTTATCGCCTTTCTTATTGCTATTATAAATACGAAGCAAAAGACACAAAGTACTATTAACTATACCGAAAAAAAAAAGATTAAAAAAAAAGAGCTTAATAAAAGAAAGATTAAAGAAAAAGAGATTAAAGAAAAAGAAATTAAAGAAAAGGAGATTGAAGAAAGAGAGATTAAAGAAAAAGAGATTAAAGAAGAAAGCGATATTAAAAAAAAAGGAAACATTAAGGAAAAAGAAAAAGAGGCTATTATACCACCACTAAAAATTCTTTTATTAAACGACTTCTACTACGCAACCTTACTACGCGCCCTTATAACACTATTATCTAGCTTACTACGCTAGCGATATAAGTTACTCGATCTCTTCGATAATAACGACGAGATAACCCGCATTATAAATAAAATTAACCTCGAAGGATTTATCGATACTTAAAGCAGCTAATAAACTAATAATAATACTTAAAGCAATAATAAAATATAAGATAATACTTAAAGCAAAGAACAAAGCGAAATAAGCAATAATAAAACACAAGATGATGTTTAAAGCAAATAACAAAGCGAAGTAAGCAAAGAAAGAAGCTAAAATATTATACTTACGGATCTTTCTAAGTTTATATATACGACGTATAAAAACAAGAAAATATACGACGATCTCGAAGTACACCGCGCATTTAAGCAGATCGAGCAATTTAATAGAATCAAAGCTAAAGCAAAAGCATTAAAATTAGCGCTAGATTTGCTTTTTTTTCTATTCTTTTCGACTTTTAAATTAAGCATAAATACGATTTATCAATCTTTACTGCGTTTTGCGCCTTTCGCATTTGCTTAGCTACTTAAAAGATTTATGAAAATCGAATGCATTAAGTGTAATAGCTTCCGCTTATTATTATACTTCTTTATTTTAAATATTAGTTTGCGATTTACTACTTGCTTAAATTGCTATTATCAACGACGCTACAAGCTAGCTAAAGAATACTCTATTCGAAATATAATTCGAAAAAGTTTGATTAACAACTTAGCAAATATAATGATATCGGAATATATAACTAAATTAACGGACGAACCTTGCTAAAGCTGTTTAAGTGTATTCTTATGAAAAAAGCTCGATAACTTATATACTTGTTATAATTGTCGTAACAAGCGCACTTTTTAGCGCTTATAAATATTAAATAAGCGTATAAAAAGGGTCATGCAGAGTTTAAAAGCTTATAAACAGATCGAGCTTAAGTCTTATCGAATGATAGTTATAAAAGAGTATAAGCTTAACGAATTATAAAATGTACAAAAATAGTTTATTATCAAAAAAAGTTGTATAGCTATTAGTAATTAATTAAAAGTAAATAATATATTTATATTATACAATTAATTGCGCCGAATCAACTATAACCTTTATAACTTTTATAACTTTTATAACTTAATAATTTTATATGATTATGCATACTAAGCCGATGGATTTAATAAAAGCGAAAATTTACTTGTGTTATGAAAGTTATAAAAGTTACAAAAGTTATAAAAGTTATAAAAGTTATAAAAGTTATAAGAGCTATAGGAGTTATAAGCTATTATATAAAATATTATATAAATATACTACTATACCGACGAATACGGCAAGTGTAAGAATTTGGTTAAGCACGGACCTTTTTAAAAAGTGAATTCGTCTATTACTTTTCAATATTTATTATAACTTAAATATTCTTTTTAACCTTAACTTCAACCTCAACTTTAATATTAATATCAATATCAATATCAATCTTAACTTTAACCTTAACTTTAGCTACAATTACAATTATATTAGCAATATAATTTCATTCCGCTAGCGCAACTTTCGAGACGGACTTTATACAAAGCGAATAAGTCGGCCGGATCCGGCTTATAAGCGGCAAGTACAACTACTTCGCAAGCAGCAATGACTGCTTTTACACCCTTTCCTCCTTTTTTAATAAGCTTTACTTATTGCTTTGCTTATTGCTTTAATTGAGCTCGCGGTATAAGTGATAAGTGATACACTTTAGTTATTTACGCTAATATTATATATAGATTTAATTAAGACGACGATGATAAGAATAAGCTAATGATTTTTCGTTCTCTTTCCTTCTCTTTCTTTTATACCGTCTCCGCCGTCCCCGCTGCTGCTTTGCCTCTTCTTTTCTTTCTCCTTCTCTTTGCTATAGACTTAATAGTAAAAGAAGTTAAAAGAAAAGTAAAAGAAGATAAAGTAATAAAAGATAAAGTGATAAAAGATTTTAAGCTCGTAATATAAGTTATCTTAAGATCAAGTGATACATTCGAGCTACTTACGCTAATAATATATATATATAGATTCGAAAACGACGACGATATAATTAAGCTAATAATCTCTCGCTTTCTTTTTCTTTTTCTTTTCGTCCTTCTCGCGCTATTGATTCTTATTAGCGTCCCGGCTTTTAACTTCGCCTCGGCTTTTAATAGCCTTTTATATTCTTCGCCGCCGCCGTGCCTCCCTTTGCTACGCCACTTGCTACCCTTCGCTTTATAAGCTTTAAACCGATCTTACTTTTATAATAAAGCATAAGCGTAAATATATTTTATATCTTTTATTAATGCTTATTAATCAAATCAATAAATGTTTACGTCCTCGCCGGCCGTTAATAAAAGGACTTCTTTTATTAAGGCTTAGCTTAAATAAGCTTAATCGATTGCCGAGTTTGCGCGGCTTTTTTAAGCTTAAATTACTTAAAAAAAGAATAAAGACTTATATACGCTTTCCGCTATAAGCATATAATAATCGTATAAGCAATCGGACTTGTCAAAGCTCTTTCTTTTTCGCCGTGCTATCATCGGCTACGTCGGCTGTATTATAAAGACCGAATTGTAATAATTACTTTCTTTTATCTTTTAATAACTTTAAGCTAATACAAATATATAAGAGTGAGCTAATAAACCCGCTTTGCGATGCGTGCGCCGCTGCTCGCTAAGAGTGCTAAGCATACTCTTCGGCCGCTAAAGTATAAATATTTAATTCGAAAGATACGTATGCTCGATATCAATAGTCTCTTCGAAAGTGTACTGCGTTTAAGAAGAGCTTACGTAAGAAACGTAGATTTAAACCTTTTTCTTTTGCTCGAGACCTTCTTCCCTTTCCTTTTCTCCCTCTTTTAAGTACACCTTTTATAGCTAAGTTAAAGATTCGAGTTTAAACCTTTTTTAATGCATATTCTTAAACTTAATAACTCTTATAACTTTTGTGACTTGTATAATCTTATAGCTTTTATAACTTCTATAATTTTTATAACTTTTATAACTTCTATAACTTTTGTAACTTCTGTAACTTTTATAACCTTTGTAACTTTTGTAACTTTTATAACTTTTGTAACTTTTATAACTTTTGTAACTTTTATAACCTTTGTAACCTTTATAACTTTTGTAACTTTTATAACTTCTATAACTTCTGTAACTTCTATAACTTTTGTAACTTTTATAACTTTTAATATTTTCGTAATATAAGTAAATATATAATTATAAGTAATAAAGGGGGTCCGGGGTCTCTCCGGTATAAAAATGAAAAGATAAGTAATAAAAAAGGGTTTAAGAGGGTCTCCCCCTTATAATAAAATATAAACTCGATAATAACTTTTGTAATT